TGGGTATCCACCGCAACCTGGGCACGTGCTCTGACAGAAAATTGAACCCTGACCTCCTGGTTCATAGGTCGACACTTAACCCCTGAGACACCACGGCCAGGCCCTTTGTTGTTTTAGTAATAGAAGACCTACTGGGGCACATGGCTGGGCAGGGAAAAGCTGAATTTCCCAACCTCCCTTGCAATTAGATGTGACTAAGTTTAGCCAATGGGAATGGGAATATGATGGAGTGGGTGAGCGATGCTGCCTGGCACCCAAAGATGGAAGCCACATATTGAAAAATGGATGGTAGATGCACCCCAGAAACTCTGGCTCCTTTACCCCACCTAGCACAACAAACATTACCCATGACACCATGGGTTTTGTGTGCTAGTTATGTTTTTTCAAATATTCGTTCAAGTAAATATATACATATTCATGCTGAAAATATACACATTCACCCACTGACCACCTACATTCAGTCTCATTTACTGTGGCGTGGTTACTTCCCCATCCTGTAATAAGGGGTCTTGCTTACTTTATTTCCGCAGCAGCCCTGAAACCTAGAAATGACTGTAGGTACTTTATAGAGGAGGTTGAGAGAGGTGAAGAACCAAGCACCTTATTGGTAAAGGACAGAGCCAGGGCCTAGGCAGGTCAAGGGCTTCCACGTGGAAGGGAAGACACGCTCTGGAGCAGGGGTTGGCAAGTCTTTTCTGTGAATGGTAAGATAGTCCCTGTAGGCTTTGCTGGCCACTCCGTCACAGCCAATCAACTCTGCCCTTGCCCAGAGGAGGCAGCCAGAGACAATACGTAAACGACCGTGTGCGCGCCTGTGTCCGAAGAAAACTGTTTATGATGCCGAACCCATAAACGTCATGAAATATTCTTCTTCTATTGACGTTTCCCAGCCATTTAAAAACGTTAGCATCATTCTACGCTGGCCGGCAGTGGGCTGGATTCCTAGGTTGTGGATCCCTATTTTGTAGTTGGTTTTCAAACTGTGTCCCCTGAGTCTTGGGTTCCAAGAGAGCTGCCTGGTAAGTGCCCTGGGTGGCAGCTAACAGGGAAGGCTGGCTCCTCCCATTTCAACTCCAGCTGCCCCTGCTGGACCTGCTTTATACACCGAGCTGCCAAGTAGCAGTCACGGGTGTTTACTGAGCACTTACTTTATGCAAGGACTCTTCTTAGGGCCTGACAGCTGAATGAGGAGGAGCTAGCATGGGCCCCCTTCAGAGAATGGAAATGGAGGAAGGAATAAACAAAACAGGATACATAAAATAAAAGAAAGCAGGTCACCCCACTTTCAAACAGCTGCTCTGGTGCTTTGGACCCAGATTGGCTGATTTCAGAGCCCATGTCCTGACCCTGTCATTCTGCCTCCAACACAAGAGCTTTTCAGAGTCTAGTGGCCAAAAAAAGGTTTGAAAGCCAAGTCCCTTATTACAAAGATGAAACATCCTAGACCTGGGAAACGGAAGGGACTTGCCCAAGTCACACACAATGTTGGGCACAAAGCGAAATTCTGTCTTCCCTCCAATTTATGCTGCAGGGTGTCAGGAGGAAGGAGACCCTGGGAGAGGTTGGGGCAGACGCCTGGGCAGTGGGATCAGAGAGTGATTAACGATTAACCCTAAGATCTAAAGCAAAACTCATTCCAGTGCAAAGAGAGATGCTCCCTTTCACCCAGTGCCTTCACTTGGTGAGGTGAGGTGAGGTGAGGTGAGGTGAGGTGAGGTGAGGATGGGGGTGGAGGGAGTGGAGGCTGTGCTCACGGGTCAGGACAGGGGCGAGGAGACTCCAGGGGCTGTAAGTCCATGAGAGACAGCCAAGCAGCAACCACAATGACAGTGTGCACTTTCACTTTCTGAAGCCCCACCACATGCCAGACACTGTGCTAAAATCCTCATACCCATCAGCTCACTGAATCTTCCCAACAGTACTGTGAGATAGAAGATCCCCATTTCACAGATGAGGAGACTGAGGCTCAGAGGCAAAGTGATTTGTCCAAAGTGCTGAGCTCTGTCGGGATGTGGAACCTGTGCTTCTGAGCACCACGTCAGAGCAGGACAGAGCTGAGGGCAGGGTGGTGCTCGCTGGACAAGACCCCAGGGGTCCTCAGACTCGGAGGACAGCCTCCTCTTCTCGTCTGTTCCTTCACCAGCTCTGCTCCTAGCGCTGCCCAGGGGACTGAGGAGCGTCCTTCTACCTGCACATTCTCATTAGATCCCCCACCGCGGCCCTGCGGGTGGCCCTCTCATCATGCCCATGTCACAGAGCAGGAAACTGACGCTCAGAGTGGTGAAGCATCTGCCCAGTGCCCTCAACCAGGAAGGGGCCCACCTGGCTGTTGAGTCTAAACTCTACCATCCTTTCTCCTGCATTTCTCTGCCCAAAGAAGCCCAGTTGGCCACCATGTCTTTCCTTTAGGAGTGTCCAAGAGGCCACCATTCAAAAATCCATATTTGAGGCTGGGTTAAGCACTGCCTGCCTTCTTTGCTCTTCATTCATGAGGCCAGGAGCGGGGGGCTCTTTTCTCAACTCTAAGATGAGGGCAGTACCTCCCATTTCAAATACATTCTTGTGAAGTTTACATGAGAAATGAGAACTGGGAACACAGGAAGGGGTTCGTTACTATGTGGAGATTGTATAAAAACCATTAGATTTCCAGGCATTGGAGGAGCTGGTAATAAACCTCACACGGTCAGGCACAGTTGAAGTTTCCTGTGCCTCCTGCTTGAGAGGGATTCATTTGTTTCTTATCTGTCTCCTTGTAAATGCCAAGCAGAAGGGAAGTTTGTGTCAATCTTTCCTTGCTGTGGTCTTGTTTCCCTACGTTGTTTGGCACGTAGTAGGTGTTGAATAAATGAGTGTAATTAAGAAATGAATAGACCAGCCCAGGCAGCGTGGCTCAGTGGTTGAGTGTCAACCTATGAACCAGGAGGTCAAGGTTCAATTCCCATCAAGGTACATGCCGGGGTTGTGGGCTCAATCCCCAGGGGGTGGGGGGGCGGAGAGCAGGAAATGGCCAGTCAACGGTTCTCTCACCATTGGTGTATCTAGCTCTCTCTCCCTCTCCCTTTTTCTCTGAAATCAATAAAAATATATTTAAGAAAAGAAAGAAAGAAATGAATAGACCAGTTACTTAACTGTTCCAAGCCTCAGTTTCCTCATAGATAAAATGGGGATATTTATACTTGCCATCTAGGTTGTTGTGAGTGCTAATTGAATGCATGGATGTAAACCTGCCTCATCTGGGACCTTTGACTTTCCCTGGGGTTCTCTTTACTTAATTTGATGCAAGAACTCTTCCCTGCGGGGCTTCTGTGTTCCCAACGTCTAGGTTAGACGAGGGTTAACAGTTCCAGGTCAGACCTACCAAGGGCCAGGTGGGCACCATTGGAGATGGAGTGAGATTCAAGGGAGAGGGGGTGGGGCGAATCAATAGTCCTGGAACAAGCCTGACTCTGCCACTAACCCTTTGGGTCATCTTGATCCCAACCCTGATCCACTTCTCTAGGCCTCAGTTTCCCTGGGTGTCAAGAGGACGGTAATAACCCCTGCCCAGCTCTCCCTGCCCTGCCTGATATAAACTCAGGTACTGGTGTTATTTGAATAAGACCTTACATAAACCCCAACCTCTAACCAGCCTTGTATATAGCATGTACATTCTAATATCGGGGCTCCTAGCTCAGATGCTGGCAGCAACCAGGGTCCGTGGATGAGTTTCAGGGGCTGGGGGGACTGAGGTCAACTGGTGAACACATGCTCCCTCTGAGGGTGTGGGCAGCCTCAGGAGGCTTCAGTTCCCCCATCTGTAACTTCAGGGGAGTCATTCTCAACCCGGCTCCCCAGAATACTCACCTGCAGAACTTTTCAAAAATACTGTGACCCCAGAATCACTAAACCAGGACCTCCAGGATGGGACACGGGCACTCCCAGGAAAAGCTGCCATTTCCCCAGGGGGTGCGGCGGGAAGGGTACAGAGAGAGCTAGCGATGGGTGGGGTTCAGGGTCACTGGGTCAGAGTTCTCCCTGTCCGTCCATCCCCTGGGGAGCGACTATGTCTCCCAGCATCTGTGTCCTATTAACAGCTCCATTTCCTGCTTCAGTGCCCTGACCTCTGGCCCTGTGCACTGCATGTGGACATGTATTCCCATCATGGGAGGCCCTAGGCCCTCACCCCCTTGGCCCAGGGTGAACTGATCTGCGTTTAGCCTTCAGACCCTGGCTGGTGGTCAGCAGCGTCAGCCTCAGACACAGTAAACATAGCACACAGCGAACTTGTCTTCCCTCTTATCTACGCTGCGGGTGTCAGGAGGTAGGAAACTCTGGGAGGTTGGGGTAGACACCTGATTTGTGGGCAGTGGGATCAGACAGCTGGGGCTGGTTAATGATCCACCCCAAGACCTGAAACAAAGCTCATTCCAGTGCAAAGAGAGATGCTCCCTTTCACCCAGTTGCTGTGTCGGGGAGGTGAGGTGAGGACAGGGGTGGAGGCAGTGGAGTGGAGGCTGTGTTACAGGCCAGGCTCCGGGGCTTTAAGTCCTGGTACAAACAGGACAGGAGTAGCCCAGAGTGGAGAGAGGAAGGAACTTACTTCCCCAGGTCCCTGGGTGAGGCAGAGAGAGAGCAGAAGCAGGGGTCTAGACCCTTCTTCCCAGTCCACGTGGGCGAAGATCCCAGAAATATATCTGTAGTCGAACAGGCTGAGTGTATTTCTGCTGCTGCCGTGATGGGGAGCGCACACGGGACAGGCTTGATCGTCTCAGTAAGAGGGTGTGTGAAAGGACCTGGGTTTTGGCCAGGTCGTGTGGAGGGGCATCCAAGGGAGCAGCTTTGCTCTACATTAGTTGCTGTCAGAAGTCAGGGGCAGCTTAATGGTTGGGTAAGGAAGTGGCAGCCATTCATTTGGCAAGTGTGGGGGTGCTTGGCATTTTGTGGGAGGCCAGCGGCTTTGTGCTTAGGCAACTTTAGCATCCTTGCTTCGGCTCACCGTTTTATCAGTGACTTGGAGGCCAGTGATGTGTAAGATTCTTTAGGTCCAACAGGAGAACAACATAACGCAGGTAGACATCAGGGGCCACTTCGATATTCTTTCTCAAGAGCAACCCACGTGAACTAACTCCTGGCTAGTGCTCGGATTCCTGTGACATTCTTTAAATCACAGTCTGGCACACTTCGGCCCAGCAACTCTAGCCCACTACCTGTTTTTTTGTGAGTCAACGATAGTTGATATATTTTTAAATGGTTGAAAGAAATCGAAAGTCGGATATTTTGTGACATGTGAAAATTATATGAAATTCAAGTTTCAGTGCCCCACAAATAAAGGTTTAGCCCCACATAACGTTTTACGTGTTGTCTGTGGCTGCTTCCATGATATCATGGCAGGGTTGACTAGTTAACAACAGAGACCATGTGGCTTCCAAAACCTAAAATATTTACCACTTGGCCTTTTACAGAAGAAATTTGCCAGTCCCTTCTTTAAATGGTACCTCAGCCCATTAGTTGCTATAAACAAAATATCCCCGATTGGGCATTTACTCCTCACAGTTCTAGAGGCTGGAAGTCCAAGATCAAGGAGCCAGCGGATTTGGTGTCTAGTGAGATTTGACTTCCTCTTCATAGAGGGCTGTCTTCTTGCTGTGTCCTGACATGGTTGCAGGGGCAGGAGGGCTCTGTGGGTCTCTTTTATAAGGGCACTAATCCCATTCATGAGGGTTCCACCCCTATGACCTAATTACCTTCCAAAGCTCCACCTCTTAATACTATCCCATTAGGGATTACATTTTAACATATGCATTTTGGGGAGGATATAAACATTCAGTCTGTAGCAAATGGGTCAACTCCTTAACCCTCTTGACAACCCTAGGAAAACTACTACTTCCATTTTGTGAATTAAAGAATTGAGGTGCCAAGTGATTCAGAGAGATCTCTAAACCAGGGTTTCTTAACCTCAGCATTATTGACATTATGTGTGGGATAATTCTTTTTTGTGGGGGCTGACTTGTGCATTGTAGGCTATTTTGTAGCATTCCTGGCCTCTACCCACTAGATGCCAGTAGCACCCCCCGCACCCCAGTTGTGACAACCAAAAATGTGTCCTGACATTGCCAATGTCCATGGGAGGGAGAAGTGGCCCCAGTTGAGAGCCACTGATCTAAGGTCACATAGTAAATGATGAAGGTATGATTTGAACCCAGAACCCAGTCACATGCTCAATACCTAGGGATGGTTTCTTTTGCCCTTGGTGATGATTTCAGCAGCAAGAACTTTTAATCTCTTCCATTTTTCTTGTCTATAAAACACTATCAAGCAAGGGATACTTTTAAAATAAAGTCAGATCCTGTCCTGACCCTGATCCAACACTCTTCCGCCTCTGCTCCCATGTGACTCAGAGGAGAAACCAAAGTTTTTACTGTGATCCCCAAGTCTCCTGTCTGATCCAGCCCATTTTCTGCTACCCCCATCCCTTGCCACTTATCTCACCTCACCTCCTACCCCTCTCCTACTCCCTCAGGCCCCTCTAGCCCCACTGGTCTCCCTTCTGCTTCTGGATACACCATCACCCTCTCACCTCAGGGCCTTTGCACCTGCTCTTAATTTCCCCAGCAGTTTGCATGGCTCACCCCCTCACCTTCTTCAGGTGTCTGTTTGCTGTTACCTTCTCAGTCATACTTCTCTTGACCATTCTTTACAAAGATTGTCTGATCCCAGAATACTGGGCCCCTTCCCTGCTTTATTTTTCTCCATGACACTAATTTCCATCTGAAATACTGTATATTATACTTATTTGTTTATGGTCTGTCTTCCTAACCAGAAGGTAAGTTCCACAAGGACATAGCTTTTCGTGTCTTGTCACTCAATGACATCACTGATGGAGTGATCGGCTAGGGTTCACTGACAGTTCTGGTCCTGGGCTCCAAGTTGCACCAAGCTCTTGTCTAAGAAAAATGGAAACACACCTAGAACTTATTCACTCTTAGCATTTTTATGGCCACTAGCCTAGTGCTGTCCCACTCCCTATCTCCCCTCGGGCTTCCTTAATCTCTGCTTTCCCAGCACACTGGCCTTCTCGTGGTTCCTCAGTTCTTCTAAGCTTCTTACCCAAGGGCCTTTGCACATGCTGTTTTTTGTTGCTCGAAACATTTTTCTCAAGACTCTTCATGTGGCTGGCTCCTTTTATCCTTAAGGTCTCACCTCCAAAGCCATCAGCGTGTGGTGTCTCTCTGTTGACTGATTACAGTAGGCCAGCTGCCCCCGCTCCCTACTATGTAATGACTTTCCATCCCCTGCCCCAGCTTTATGTCCACCCTCACTTTCGTCACTACCTGAAATGTTCGCTCTGTGTTCACTGTCTCCCTTTCTAGATCATTAACTTCCTGGGAACAGGGACCTTGTTATATACTTTTCACGGTGTACCCCAAGCTCATAGTCACTAGCACATAGTAGGTGCTCAACAAATACTTTTTGAATGAATACCTGGGAGATTGGGGCCACCCATTCCATTGCTGATCCATTGCCACTCATAACGAGTCTTTCCCAAACACCCCTTTGGCAATGGCTGCTCAGGTAAGCCTACGCTTGAGTTTTGGGCTGTCAAGCAGTCTTACAGCTAGCTAACTCCCAGCCCTCAAGTCTGGGGTCTCCAAATAGACACGGGTAGGGCAGGAAGATGGAATGTTGAGCGGCTTATTTTATTTATTTATTTGATTGAGTGAATCGTATGGGATTCTTGGCCAAGAGTGAACCCTGAAGAAGTACTCTTGACTGCCTACAAAAGGATGGGCACACTCCTGTCCCACTCACATGACACTAAGCACATCATGCTTTCTTCTCCTAGTTGCTGTGGCGACAAAAGGCATGAACCCTGTGCCCATGGAGATGCAATTTCTTGCCAGAAGAGAAGAGTGAGTTCCTGGTAAAAATCATTGAGGCGCCAATTCTTGGTCCAAGGAGATGATGAACGAGAGCTCAGTGCTGCAAGCAACCTCCCTCCCATCTCTGAAAATTTCTCCAAATGACATACTTGCCCAAGTTTCCGCCTTTCGCTTATGCATAGATCTCCACAGAATCCTTAAAAAGGCAAACGTGGTCAGGCAGAGGAGGACATTCAATCCCTAGAGTTTTAGTAAGGGGAGGGTCTCCAGGCCAGGCCCAGAGAGCAGAAGAGCACAAGCCACATGATAGTCAAGAAGGAGAGCAGGTGCAGACCAGGTCGAGAGGCGCCAAGGACAAAATCGTCCTGTGAGACAGTAATAATCGTGACTTCTGTGAGTCCAGAAGCACCTTCACATCAATAACATGTCCAGCCTCTGGTGGACTTTGTGTATAACAATATGGTTAAGATCTTGGGGTTTGGAGCGACACAGATCTGACTTTGAACCTGGGCTCTGCCACCTACCTGCTGTGTCATTTAACCTTTTTGAGCCTCAATTAAGTTCACCTAACAACTGGATATGATTCGGAACCCAGCTTAAAGGGTTGTTTTGAGATTAAATGGAATAATGTCGACAAAGCCAGCTGCTAGGCCCTACATGCACGATGGTAGCGCTTGTTATTAATGGCATTGTTATCGTGATTTAATGGTGATGGAACAGTAGGAAGTAAAGTGATTTGCTCTCAGCATTGCTGGGCATTGATCAGGTCTATTTCATTCACAAGTAAAATCCATAATATGTCCCATGGTTGTGAGTGTTATGCAGGAGAATAAAGCAGTAAAGAGGCCAGGGCGGGGGCCTGGAGCTGGAAAGGGCAGCTTTAAAACGGGTAATGCGAGAAGGCCTCTCTAAGAAGGTCATGCTTGAGCAGACACCTGAAGGAGATGCGGGATCGTGGAGGATCTGTAGAGTGTTCTCAGCAGAGGGACTAGCAGGGGCAAAGTTCCTGGGAGTCCAAAGCAGACAAGAAGCCTGTACGCTTCCTGTGGGGTTGGAGTTGGGAGAGTGGGTGGTAGATAATGTTAGAGAGATTGCCTGTATGGTGAGGGTGGTAGTAGTGGGACAGGGCATGTGGGACCTCATAGGCCGCTGATGTAGCGTTGATTTTGAATGGAGGGGAGCTGATGGAGGGATAGCAGAGGAGGAATATGATTTTACATCTGATTGTTTTATCCCAGGGACTGTACTCCTTCCCAGCACCCCTTGGGAGCTTTGAGTCCAGCTTTGAAATCATGGGTTCTGTGATGGCCCAGCCACTCACTACCATGAAATCTGGGAATCAATTTTTACCGCCTGCCTATGCAGAGTTTATTGGAAAATACCTGTTGCTACTCTCTGGAATGCCATGTCCATTAGATGAAAACTCTATGTCCACTGGATGCAAGCCCTGTCCCCTCTCTGGGCCTCAGTTTCCCCATCTAAACAAAGAAGAGGTTATACTAAATCAACCCTCGGGCCCATCTGCTCTCTCATTCTCACTGGGAGGCTCAGTCTGGTTGGGTTCCCACATCTGAGAGGCCACAGTTCCCGACCAGGCCACTCACCTGAGAAGTCAGACCATGATGACATGGGTCTGCAGCTGCTTCCTTGTGTCCCTTTCAGACTTCTGATCATGTCCCCATTGTCCACTGGAGATGGGGCCCCTCATGTAGCAATTAAAACCAGACAGTATTTGATGGATCTTTCATTATTTTAAAATATTTGATTTTTAAATATATATATATATGAACGAGCCCGCAACCCAGGCATGTGCCCTTGGCTGGAATCAAACCTGGGAGCCTTCAGTCCGCAGGCCGATGCTCTATCCACTGAGCCAAGCCGGCTAGGGCAAAATATTTGATTTTTTAATGGCACCGGAGCAATTCTTAATTTCATTCACTTATAAACGTTTTATAATTGCACAAGTAAATAAAAAACCCACTCTTAAACAAAAAATATATTTGGCATCTCACTCCCAAAGGCAAGTTAAAACAGTTAAGTGAATACCAATCTAGATTATTTATTGATATCTCTATATATACATACACACATTTTCTTAAATAAAAATGTTGACAATACTATATATGCTGTTTTGGAAACTGTTATCTCACTTAATGGAGTGTAGTGAACATCTTTTTACCTCAATCACATTTGTGTCAACATCATTAACTTTAAATTATATAATTAATAACTCTTAATTTTATTCTTTCCCAAAACTCTAACTGTGCAAGGAAAACAACCCAGAAAAAATACAAATAGAGAAAAAGGACCTGTAGTTCAACCCCCGAGAAAGGTACCAAAATGACTTTGCCTATTACTATTCTAGACTTTCCTTAAAACTCAAATATTCATGAAATAATGTGAATATTGTTAAAATAAAATAAAAACTAGTGCTGTTACCTATCTTTCCACTTTACATAGTGGATATCTTTCATCTTAATACACTCATCTAAATCACAATTTTTAAATAGCATCCAGAAAGGGGATCATCTTTATTTAGCCAATCCCCTTTTGATGGTGATTTAGGTTATTCTAAATGGGAATGATAAAAATTAATTAACCAATTAATTAAAATGGTATTTAACACCATGGGGAACTCTTGTACCCACACCGAGACATTTGCCCAATTATTTCTTTGGGACTAATTCTTAGCAGAGAACACCTGAGCTGAAGGGGGCCCAGCTCTAGAGGTTTTGATGTCGGTGCCGAATTACCTTCTCAGAAGACCATGGAGCTCTCCCCACCCCAGCAATGTGTGAGCTGCTCCGTGTGGGCCCAGGATCGCTGTGTGTGTGCTGAATGGCGTCTCTTTGGGTTTGTTTAAAGCAAAGACTTCCCTGAGGAGGCAGAGGATCCGCCGGCTCTTGCAGACAGCAACAAGAAGGCGAAAGAATATCGCAAAAACATCTGGAAGGGCCTCCTCATCTCCATCCCTTACGCGGCCAGCATTGGGGGCACGGCCACTCTCACCGGCACGGCTCCCAACCTCATCCTACTTGGTGGGATCAAGAGGTAAAAGCAAGTGTCATCGTTCATTGAGTGCCTTCTATTGGCCAGGCTTCAGCATAAAACCCAGCCAAGTCTCTGTGCTCTGTGGGACTTTTATTCTGGTGGGGAGATACATGGTAAAGGAAACAGCAAATGAATATGAGAGATGTCCACGTGATAAATTGTGAAATAAATCAAAGCAGGATAAAGGGGTAGGAGGCACAGGAGTGAGTCGGTCACGGATGTCCGGCCTTTCTAACAAGAGGACATTTGAGCAGAGGCCTCCAGGTGAGGGAGTGAACCCTGTGGACACAGAAGGATAGCGCCCTGCAGACAGAGGGGCAGCCTGAGCAAAGGTGAGCGGCATAAAGGCCCTCTAGGCTGCCGTGTAGAAGGTGGGGGGCATTGTGGGAGGAGATGCCCCAAGAAGAGGCCAGACGAAGGCAGCTCTTGTAAGACCCAGCGGGGAGTCCGTGGAAGCTGAGAGCAGAAGGGCGACGTGATGCGGCATCTGCTTTGAAAACAGCCCAACTGGAGGCGCTGGTCTGCGCTGTCCAGTGAGAAGCTTGGCAGCCACGCACGCGGGCCAGCGGGGCAGCGGGCTCTGCCAGGAGGTGAGGTGTCCCCATCTCTGAAACTATTTCAACAGAGGCGGGCATGAGAACCAGAGAAGGCTTCTCAGACAGCATGGCTTATCGGCTCGGTCATTCCAAGCCTCTTAGTTCAAAGATTTAAAAAAATTCCTGTATTTCAAGATCCTAAGATGTTCAGATTCTAGGATTCTGAGAGGTTTTCAGATTCCTGTGCAGTGGCGATACGGCCTGCATTGATTTAATCTTCACAAATGCACACGTAAGCATTTGGCAAGCAGATACAGTAAGAGGTCTTTGATGTCCCTCCCACATGGCCCCAGCGGCTGACCAGTTTCTTTTCCTGCTACTCAACCAAGGAATCAAGGACCTAGTATCGGGAGGGTGAGGGAAAGCTGGTGTTGGTCTCCTGAGAGCAGGTTTGGCATACATAAATCAGTCCTCTACTTGAGGGTCATTGAAATTATTTTTATGAGAAATTTTAAGTACACTCCAGTTTTGCCTCACAAACTGATTTTAAAACCTTAAACCTCCACTATATCATATCAGGTGCCTAAGTTCCTTGATTGTATGATTTGATGGTAGAAACCAGTGATTCTCAGCCATTGGGTGCTTGTTAGAGTCCCTGGGGGAGATGGAAAAATACAGGTGGGTCTCAGTTGCACAGTGTGATTCAGGGGGTGTGAGATGGGCCAGGCGTCAGCATTTTGCCAATTGATTTCAGCCCGCTGCAGACCTTTGGTGTCTTTCCATCTCCATTCTCTGAGCAAGGCTTGGCTGTGCCTTAGGTTTTGGTTAGCAAACCGAGATGGCCCTGTTTCAGATGTGGGCACAGCCTGGGCTGGCCCTGTAGTCTCCTCAACTGGAAGAGGCTGGACAGGAAAGATGTGGGTTCTGGGAGCCTCAGGGCAGGTCCTGAGGTGGGGGATGCAGGTAATGGGGTGGCAGTTGCTACCAGAGAAATTTCAGGCTGCCTGCCCATGCTGACATGAGCAGAACTTTGTCCCAACTTTAAAAGAAATTAGGGAGGGTCCGACCAGCATGGCTCACTGGTTGAGCGTCTACCTATGAACCAGGGAGTCATGGTTCAATACCCAGTTGGTTGTGGGCTCGAACTCCAGTAGGGGGTGTGCAGGAGGCAGCGGATTAGTGATTCTTATCATTGGTGTTTCTCTCTCTCTTTCTCCCTGAAATCAATAATAATAATAAAAAAAAAACTTAAAGAAATTAGGGAGGAAATGCTGGAGTTGTAAGTGAAAATATCAAACATGAAGGATTTGGAGTAAATTGTATATAAATTACATGCATGTTATTGGCAACATTTAATTGCTCAGGCTTGGACTCTCTGGTCTTGGAGGAGAGGATTTAGAAGGAATGCTAAGTAATATGGAGTTCTGGTTCTCCAGCTAGGAGCCCGGGAGACAGGGCAATAGCTGCCCTGAGCGTTTTCCTGGGGCTTTGCTCCCCAAATTCATTTCATTAGTTTATTCTGATTATACATTTAATGGTGGGTACATTATAGAACTCTCGGATAATATAGAAAAATAAACATTTGAAATACCTTTCATGCTACTGTGAATATTTAACATACTTCTCATTTTTCTATGCATGTGTGCGCGCGCACACACACACACACACACACACACACACACACACACCGGCGTGGCTGATCTTGGCTGGCTCTCACCTCCCTCTTTTCTCCAGTGCCTTCCCACAGAGCGACGTGGTGAATTTCGGCTCCTGGTTCATTTTCGCCTTACCTCTTATGGTGCTGTTCCTGGTGATTGCCTGGCTCTGGATCTCCTTCCTGTATGGGGGAATGTTCACGAGGTACCACCTTCATGTTTCACTTGAGCTTTGAGCCAGACTGAGCTGTGTTTGACCCAGGTTCCCTCTCACTAGGGAATGGCGGCTTGAGTCTTGGTCTTCTGCATACACCGAGGACTGTCTTTATAATGTCATGTTATCTTCTCACTTGGTGACTATAGTAGACCTCACTTCCCTACTGTGTGCAGATAGTGGGTGGTGTGTGGATAGTGGGTGGTGTGTGACCTGCCTACTATGCTCAAACCCTCAGTTAATTCATCCATCATCGATATTAAACCACTAATAAAAACACATTTTTATTTTAATAAATATTGTCAAGTCATTCTCCATAAGAATTGTACTAATTTGTTCTCCCATTTACCACATATAAGAGTGTCTGTTACCATACAACAAAGTGGATTTTTGCCAATCTGATAAGAGAAAAGTAATTTGCATTTACTTTATTGAGAGTAATTTTGAACACCTTTTAACATTGGGGGGCAATATGAAAAGTTTTTATATATTCATGGGGACCATTGGTATTCACTTTCCTGTGAATTGCTAAACTGTGTGTCTATATCCTTTGTACATTTTTCAAATGGACTGTTGGGGTTGGTTGATCTTATTGATTTCTAATACTCTTTATATATTGAAAGATTAGTGATTGTTCTGCAATATGAGTTGCAAATATTTTCCTAACTTGCTTTTTACTTTGCTTACAGTGCTTTCTTTCATGTAGGATTTTTGAGAAAATTTTACATAGACTATTTATCAATCTTTTCTCATATGGCTCCTGAATTTTCCATTACAGTTAAAAGGGCCCTCCCATTAAAGGAGTTATAAAAAAAAGTAATCACAGTTTTCTTCTGATATTTTAATATTTTTCACATTTAAATTCCTTTTTATCTATTTGGAGTTTATCCTTAGGGTGCTATGAGGTTTAAATTCATTGTCATGGTATCCTTGTCAAAAATCAATTGACCACAGATGTGTATGGGTTTATCTCTGAACTCCCAATTCTGTTCCATTGAACTATATGTCCAACACCATTGAACAAATAGCCCATCTTTTGCATACCAGCTGTGATACCAACTTTATCACAGATAAATCCCCATTTATATTTGGCTATATTTCTGGGCTTTCTATTTTATTCCATTGATTTGTCTGTTTATTCATGTTTCTGTTTGATCCCCTAAAGGATCCCCTGGGAGTCAGATGATCAGATTCACATTTAAAAAGAACATCCAGGCTCTATGTGGGGCGAACAGTTTTTAGGAAGGGAAGACAGAGGGAGACCAGCAGGCCACTGGAGTTTCCCGAACAGAGATAATGAGGCCTGGCCAGGTGGTGGTGGGCTGGGGCGACGTTAGTCACCCTTGCAGTAGCCACTCCTAACTTCTCTACTTTCTGTTTCAGGGGCTGGAAGAAGGACACAGAGGTCAATGCTACTGGAGAAGAAAGGGCTCGAGCTGTGATTCAGGAGGAATACAAGAGTCTGGGGCACATGGTGTGCGCGATCCAGGGACCCATTGGGTGGAGAGAAAACTGGGCGGTAGACTGTCAAGAGACTTACCTCTTGGTCTGATTCCTGGGTCCCCCGGGGGCTGAGTCCCAGGGGAATCTCAGGGCCAGTGGCCTGAAATGGGGTCCTGGAGATGGAGGGGAGGGAGGTGACTCACACAGTCAGCCTCTTGCCCTGGTGCTGGGGTAGATTCTAGGAAGCTCCTCAGGGTGTACTTGGGGTGGGGACTTGCCTCCGTCTTGCCAAATGCACCCTTTCCCTCCTGGTACATGGGATACTCAACATAGCTTTGGACAGCTTCCAGGACCTTGTTTAAAGTGTGTATTTCCTGTGGTAACAATAACTCGGAGTCAGCAGGCTTGCCCCCAAGGGCTGACTCTGCCACTCACTTCCTGTGTGACCTCGGGCAAGGCACTAACCCTCTCTGGGCTCTGTTCCCCAATCTGTGAAATGGGCACATTGGGTAGATATTTGCCCCCAACAGTTGCAGACTCTCTCTCTTTCTACTTCCCTTCATGTCTGTCCCTTTCTGTGTTTGTCCCACTCCGTGCTCATGTTCATCCCTGTGTGTGACTCTTTGCCTACCTCTCTGTCTCCTGTCTCTCTGATTCTCTCTTTGTCACTCTTTCTCTGTCTCTGGATTCTCCCTAGGACTCTGGGAAATTACCAGTAAAAATTATATAAATAGTTTTGGTGAGGGGCCGCTTGATACTTAGGAAGGACCCTGGCGAGTGTGGTAGCCCCAGGCAGGAACCACTCACACCACAGAACAGCCCTCTCCTCACGCGGGGGGCTTCCTGGGGAGTGAACTCCTCCTTTCAGTTTCTCAGAGGCAGGGTCTGGGCCCAATCACACTGTGGGCACCTGCCCGAGGCCTTCCCACCCCGCAGACCGCCCGAGCCCACGGTCACCATGTGCCTGCATATCTATACCACAGGTTTGCTGAACGGGCGGTTTTCGTCCTTTTCTGCATGTTCGCCATCCTCCTCTTCTTCCGGGACCCGAAGTTCATCCCTGGCTGGTCCAATCTCTTCAAACCTGGGTGAGCCTCTGGGGACCCACAGGTGGAGTCCAACAGGGAAGATTCCGGGATGGGCCGCGTGGAGCTGGAGAGGCAGTGCAGTGGGGTGACCTGGGCGAGGTTCATGCCTCTGGTCCCTGGTCATTATTAATGGCTCCTTTTTTGCTCTCGAAAGAGTTTTGGTTTGGAGGATAAGACATTTGGGTTCTCATGTATTAAGAGCTTTGTCTTTGAAATCAGACAAAACTGGGTTTCATGGGCAGCTGTGTGACTTACAAATTGTGCAGCCCCAAACATGTCATTCATTCATTCATGCACTCAGTCAACATTTTTTGAGAGCCTAATATGTGCTAAGCATTATGCTAGATGCTGGGGACACAGACAAAAACAAGTAGTTAGACAACAAAATAACATTGTAATGAGTGCAATGAAAAGAGTGAGAGGGTGGAATTATAAACGAATGGAGTGGGGGCCTTGACTTTGGATAGTTCTGGGAAGAACCGAAGTTAGAGTGGAGATAAAAACTGGAGACACACTAGGCATGTCTATGAGAGCCTGAAGTAGGAACCAACTTAGGACACTTGAAGCCCAGTGTGACCCACGCCTAGTGGGAAGGGAGGGGAGTGGGCAAGACGTGGCTGGAAGGGAAGGTGAGGGCCAGATCATGGAGGTCTTGTTGGACATGTTAAGCATTTTGGTATTTTTTAGTAAGAGTAATGGGAAGCTATTGGAGGATCTGTGTCGCTGTGTCCTCATCTGTAAAATGGTATAATAATAGCACATTTCTCACCGAATTGTTCTGAGGATAAATGAGTTAATACATGTCAAACGATTAAAATTGCTCATAGGAAGAACACAGTAAAACATCAATTACATTTACTAGAGAATGGATAGTGGGGTCAAAAATACAGGTGAGAGAACAGTTAGGAGCTATGACACCATCCCAACGGCCCCTGTCATCTGAGACAGGGGTCAGGAAACTAAGGCTTATGGACCAAAGCTGGCCCACCCTTGTTTTTGAATGGTTTTTACATTTTTTAATGGCTAGGGAAAATCAAAAGATAATACAGGATGGGGCAAAAGTAGTTTTTAGTTATGAGTAAGCAAAACACAGAAATTATTCTTGCATCATTATTAATTATTGTATTATCTTCCATATGAACAACTGTAAACCTACTTTTGCCCCACCCTGCATTTTGTGGCACATGAAAATTATATGAAATTCAAAGGACAGTGTCTACAAATAAAGTTCTGTTGGACCACAGCCATACCTTTGACATCAACTTTGCTATGATGTCAAAGTTGAGCCACGACAGAAACCACATGGCCTGCAAAGCCAAAGGTATTTACTGTGTGGCCTTTCATAGAAGATGTTATGGACCCCAATCTCGGCGAAGGCTTTAACGGCTTGAATGAAACAAAGAAAGTGAAAATCACCTAGAATCTTTGTCTCCAGATCTGATGGACATCCTTTCTGACGTAAAAGGAGTGCCTCTCTGAGAACCATTCCACGACTTGATTGGATTGGTGGCTATAAGACTGTGTACATTAGGCTAAAATCACTTAACTATATCCTTAAAATGGGTGCATTGTATTCCATGTTAAGTATATATTTCAGTAAAACTAATTTTTAAAACACAAGCAAAAACTGACTGAAAAGAAACCTATCTAAACACAAGATTTTTTTGACAGAAGTGTGATTATAGTGAACATATTGTTTGTGCTCTGCTGTTTCTTGTTTCATGATAAAAGTTATGTTTACTCATTATAAAAAATTCAAGCAATGCTGAAGTGAAAAAGTAAAATTTAGTTGTCCTTCATCTCCCCTCTGTCCCACTCCCCAATGATATTCACAATTAAAGTTGGTGTGTAATATTGTACACACACACGCACACATGCACATTAATACACACACAGAGACATATAACAAAAAATTGGGAAATATAATAATAGGATCATGGATAGTTTGCCATTTCATTCTTCTTATTAAATATTTTTATTGATTTTATTTATTTCAGAGAGGAAGGGTGAGGGAGAGAGAAACATCAATGATGAGAGAGGATCATCAATTGGCTGCCTCCTACACACCCCCTACTGGGGATTGAGCCTGCAACCTGGGCATGTGCCCTGACTGGGAATTGAACTGTGACCTCCTGGTTCATAGGTCAACACTCAACCACTGAGCCACGTTGACAGGGCTATTTCATTCTTTTTAAACACTGCATAGTATCCTATAGAATGGGAGTATCTTAATTTAGCTTATCAATTCCTTTTGGATTGTGTCCAATACTGCAAATAAAAACTTTTTTTCTACTTACAAGGTTTCTTGGTTGTATGTCTACACATAAAAATTTATATTATCTCGTATATTAGAAAAAGATGTAGGGTATTTCATTATGTACATATTATATATATTATTTAAAACACTTTATTTAAACATGTCTCTACTAAGCATCTTCTATTTTTCAGTCTTATCAAATGAACATCTCTGTACATAATCTGTGTACAGAGTCCAGTTATTTCCTGAGGGTAAATTCCTTGGCGTATAATAACTGGATCGAGGGGTATTCACATGGAAAGTATTGAAGCATGATGCCAGCTGTCCTCTGGAAGGTTAAACATTTATTTTCCCACCAGCCCCATATGTTTTCCAACATCCTCATTCGGTGTTACCACCCTTTCCAAGTTTGCCTGTCTGTTCACAGAGGTAAAAACAGAGTAGTACTCCGTTAGTGTTTTGATTTCTATTTCTCTAGTATAGTGGTATCGCCCACCTTTTCCAGTTTCTTGGCCATTTGAACACTCTTCTTCCCACATGTGTGGGCTAAACATGCTTTTGTTAGTAGTTGGCTCTGAGCTTTATTGAACTTGCAGCTGGGAAATCTGGGTTCAGTACCCATCTCCCCATAGACCAGGGGTGGGCAAACTTTTTGACTCGAGGGCCACAGTGGGTTCTTAAACTGGACCGGAGGGCTGGAACAAAAGCATGGATGGAGTGTTTGTGTGAACTCATATAAATTCAAAGTAAACATCATTACATAAAAGGGGACGGTCTTTTTTTTTTTTTTTTAGTTTTATTCATTTCAAACGGGCCGGATCCGGCCCGCGGGCCGTAGTTTGCCCACGGCTGCCATAGACCATGGTCTGGCCTTGAGCCAGTTGCTCTGTTCTCTGAGCCTTGGGTTCCCCATCTGAAATGGAAGAGGCCTACCCCAGGCTTCTGAGGGCTTAGCACCTCCTCCACCTGTGGATCCTTGCAAGCTGGTAGTTAGGTTTTGTGGGGCCATGAAGCTGGCTCCGTCTGGGCTCTGCTGATCTGAGTGAGCTCCATGTCCATGTAGTAAGCCGCCCATCCCAGGAGGAATGCAAACAGAAGCTGAGCAAATGCAGAGCTGCTACAGGAACCCTGGTTACAGTGATCCATGGGGGTTCCACAGACCCCGGTATTCTGTGGCTCTCAGATTCTTTCCTCCTTGGTCAAGTCTCTTGACCTCGTGTCCTTGAGTTGCGAGGAAAAGTATTTGTTTGGCTCAAGCAGGATCTAAAAGCCCCGGGGGCCGTGGGCAAAGGGCTTTTGCATCCACGGGCGGTTACATCCGTGCCGAGTTCAGATCAAGACAGAATCCAGAGGCCGCTGACCAGGCCCCTTCACAGTGGCCCTGATGCCCTCCCACAGATCCTCACTGGTGAATCTGCCAGCCTTGGCCTGCTGAGATGCCCAGGGCCACATGACTCAGGGCCTTGTCTGTCCTTGTAGGTTTACTTCTGATGCTGTAACCGGCGTGAGCATTGTCACCATCTTGTTTTTCTTCCCATCCAAAAGGCCCTCTCTCAAGTGGTGGTGTGACTTTAAAGGTAAGGTCGTCAGGGCTGGGGTGTCGGTGAGCTCAGTGAGTTCTGTGGCGTGGAGCGTAGTAATCGGTGGCCTGAGGTAGGCCCCACACCTGGGACCTGAGAGCCCTACTGTACGAGCCATGAGCCACCCTGAGTCTTCCCCACCCCCTGCTCCCCGTTCTCTGTCTGAGCAGCTACCTTGTCTGGCACTTAGGGCTGCCGGAGGTGACTGTCCAGGGCAGGGCCTAGCAACTAGATACAGTCCCTGGGCCAAATCCAGCTGCCTGTCTATTTTTGTACAACCCATGAGCTAAGAATGGCTCTCACATTTCTAAATGGTTGAAAAGAATCAAGAGAAAAATATGACATACAAACATTACATGAAATTCAAATTTCAGTGGCCATAAAGTTTTTAATTTCTTCGATAAGAAATTTGTGGGCTTTTAATTTCTCTAGTTATATAAGTGTCTATGCAATAGCCTCATTGTTGCCTGTTGGCCCACAAAGCCCGAGATATTTACTCTCTGCTCCTTTATAGAAAAGCTTTGCCACCTCTGGACTTGCAACCTAATTGCCCACAGGGCCAGATGTGAGCATCTCAAGCTGGGTTAAAATGAATAGGAAGCGGTGTGGATTGAGGCAAAACTGCTGAAAACATTCAAATCCAGCCTAAAAGCAGCACAGAGCCCTCCTCCAAACTGTCTGTGGTCTGGCCTTGGCCTTCAGAGCCCCATCCAGCATGTGACCCCACTGGATGTCCAGCAGTCTGCCTTGAGAGGGTGCCGACACCTGCCACCTGTCACAGATGAGCATGTGTGTGCCTGGCCCATCGCTATCCGGGGAGTGAGATGAGCTCTGGACCAGGAGTCAGGAAACAGTGGTCCTAAGCTAACTATTTTCTATTGTGTGTCTTTTAATTTATTTTTATTGATTTCAGAGAGGAGGAGAGAGAGAGAAACATCAATGATGAGAGAGAGTCATTGATTGGCTGCCTCCTGCGTGCCTCACACTGGGGACGGAGCCCGCAACCTGGGCATGGGCCCTGACGGGGAAGTGAACCGTGAGCTCCTGGTTCATAGGCCGACGCTCAACCACTGAGCCACACCGGCCAGGCACTATTTTCTATTGTAGGAAAAAAATGGCATATTAGGAAGGATAGTGCCAGTTTTGTAGGATGGGGGTTGGAGTGTGGGGAGTAGCGCGTAAGGATCAGGAGGGAGAGGATTTCTCGGTCCCACCAGTAGTTCCTGGAGCAGAGCTGGCCCAGGAGGAGGCTGGCACAGGGTCCGAGGGGCTTAGGCTGTGGGCTTTGGCCTCTGCAAAACCAAACAGGCTTCCCTTGTTCCTCCATCTCTGCCTCTCTGTCTTGCTTCCAGGCGCTTTCCTCACAACCCGCTCCGTGTGTCATTTCTTGGTCTCTTCATAGTTTCTACTGCTCCTTAGCTTTTGAATTTTGATAGTCTTCGCTTCATTCTAGTTCTTGCCTTTTTGTAAGTTCTGTCTTCACCTTGCTGGTGCCCACTCTCTTTTAGTATCTGCTCCCACGGCTTCTACTTCCTGTTCCCTCAGCCTCCGTCCCCCTGGCTTTCGTCTTACCGTGTGTGCTCCTTCGCGTCCGCTCCCTCGGAGCCTCTGTTGCCTCCTGGCATCTTTTTCCTCATAACGTCTGCTTCCTCATGACCCCCACTTCCTCGAAGCTTCTGCTTCCTGGGAGGACCTGCTTCCTCAAAGTGTCTGTGTCCCCACAGAACCTCCGCTGCTGGCCCCCCTCCTATATTATTATGCGACCTCTGTCCATTCTTCTACCTTCAGTTATCACTTCTCTTTGTCCAGTTGTCTCTCTATTGCCCATGGATGCTTCCGAGAGTAAGAATCTAGTTGGTTTGGTTTGTTTGTCTTTTTAAAATAGCAGCTGTATTGAGATATAATTTACATACTGTACAAATCACTCGTTTGAAGTGTACATTCGGTGGTTTTCAGTATATTCACGGAGTTGTACAGTCATCAGTACTAGTTTAGAACATTTTCGCCACCCCATGAAGAAACCCTTGTTCATTAGCAGTCGCTCATGCCCCTCCCCTCAAGCCCTAGACAATCACCAGTTTACTTTCTTTATGGATTTACCTATTCTAGATATTTTATATAAATGTAAACATAGTTACATATGTGATTCTTTGTGACTGGCTGCTTTTTTAATTAACATGATGTTTTTAAGGATGAGCCATGTTGTAATAACATGAATCAATATTACTACTTTTTTTTTAAATCCTCACCAAAGGATATGGTGAGTGAAAAAGAGAGAGAGAGAGAGAGAGAGAGAGAGAGAGAGAGAGAGAGAGAGAGAGAGAGAGAGAGAGAGAGAGAGAGAGAGAGAGAGAGAGAGAGAGAGAGAGAGAGATCAGTTGGTTGCCTCCCACACACACCCCGACTGGGGATTGAAACCACAACCTAGGTATGTGTCCCGACCAGAAACTGAACCCCAAACCTTTTGGTGTATGGGACAATGCTCCAACCAACTGAGCCAGGGCGGTACTTGCTATTCTTATTTGGGCAGATCTTCCCCCACCAGCCTACCTTGTAGCCTCATCGGTTCCTGACCAGCCTGTGGCCTGGCTGCTCTTGACCGGGTCCCGTCCAGGGTTCTGTCACCTGGGAGTGGGCTCATAGGACCTGAGCTTCCTCTCGGGCTGGGGCTGTGGGAAGGGCACCAGGACCTGGATGTCTGGTACCCCAGCTCTGTCCCTGATTTGCTGGGTGACCTCCCAGTGAGTCCCTGGTTTCTCTGGAACTGGCTTTCCTGAGTAGGTCCCTTAGACACTTCTCGCCTCTGGCTTTCCTAGTGTACAGAATGGGAGCTGCAGGCTCCAATGCCTACAGGGAGGTGACATGTATGGAGGCAGCGGATGGGGTGCAGGGCAATGTGTTTCAGGAAACAAGGCCCTCCCTGTTCATCATTCCTTCCACATTTTTGAAACAGAAAACATTTTCTGTCTTACATGAAAATAGCAAGTGCCCAGCCCCGTGGAGAATAGGGATGCCCGTTTATGCATGTTTTGTCCGTGGCTGCTTGGTGCCATCACGGCATCCTAGTTGCAACAGAGGCCGCAAAGCCTAAATTATCCAGTCCCTCACCCTTTACAGAAGTGTGCTGGCCCCTGTTCTGGCCACTGCACGCACCACCGCCTTTGAAAACCTAAAAACCATCCCATAGTTCCACGGACCAAAGATTCCCATAGCTTTTTTCTCTCCTGAATAGCCTTCCTCTTTCCTTCCTCCCTTGCACTTCCAGCTACAGAGAGAACCTTCTGCCCTGGGTGAGGGTGAAAGTAACACTTGCCCAGGACTGTGAGAGGCTGGGAGGGTGTCCTGGCGTGGAGGCCTGCTTCCAGGACACCCCCAGCCGCGGGGCCCCACTGTTTTCATTCTGAATAGTGCAGGTGCCATGCCATGTGGTGTGGGTTTTCCCCTGCAGCTCCAAAGTCAGATGCTGGAGCCAGATCGTGGCTTCCTGGAGAACCCCGAGTGCCCCCAACAAAGACAGGCCTGCAGGGAGCCGTGTCCACCCCTCAGAGTGAGTGTCTTCTCTCTCTGCCCAGCTCCCAACACAGAGACAAAGCCCCTGCTGACGTGGAAGAGGGCGGAGGAAACCATCCCCTGGAGCATCATCCTCCTCCTGGGAGGTGGCTTCGCCATGGCCAAGGCCTGCGAGGTAAGAGGGGCAGGAGGGCTGCACGCCCGGGCGGCGTGGGCAGGTCCCAGTCCCAGCTGCAGGTGCAGCCGAAGGGCCAGAGACGCCATGGGCCCTGCAGACACCACCCCCCTCCTTTGCCAATTAGGATAATCATAGTTCCCCTCTCGGTGCCCGGTGCTGAGGAGAAAGACAGGAGTAAGGTCTGATCTGGAACCTCAAGGAGCTCACAGTGGACTCGATACTATTGCTGGTACCAATAACATCACGACTCGAGGGTTCTGTAAGCACAGGGGACCACCACCACATACAGTGCTCGCCTTGTCCAGTGTGCTTTACATGCAGTCACTGCTTTAAACTTCCAAACAAGTCCGTGAGATACATGCCATCATTCTTCCCATTCTATAGATTAGGAAATGGAGGCACAGAGAGGTAAAGTCACTTGCCCAAGGGCACACAGCTATGTACTCCAGATTACGATCCAGGAAGTTTGACTCTAGAGTGTATGCTCTTAGCCACTATGATATAAATATTAGGTACTTTTAATACTATTTATTTAATTAATCATTAATGTTATTCTAGAGGGTTCTGTGAGCTCATAGGCAGGGCTGGGACTAGAGTGAGGCGAGTGAGGCACCGAGGGTGCAGGATTTCCAGGAGGCGCTCACGCTCGGGGTCGTCGGCCCTGCTCAGAGGAAGTGCAGCCTCAGTGTCCACCATATGTCATGGTGTATTACCTCACTGACCCCTCACAGGACCCTAGGGTCTAGGTAATATTTTACCCCCATTTTCCAGGCAGGAAAACCGAGGCTCAAAGTTCTTACTCTGTGGGGTTGTTGGGAGTAATTAAAGATATGCGGACGCAATCCATAGCAAATAGGAAAAATTAAGCAACCCTCTTCAGATCATAACGTCACACTCTGCTTAGGAGCTGGGGCTCGAACTCCTGTCGATGTAATTTCGGAGTCCAGGCTCCTAATGGCTCGGTTTCCAGGACTTCCCAAGTGCCAGGCACTGCTTGAAGCACTTTGCAAATACTGACTTTGTTCATCTTCATAAACACCACTGAAGGAAATGCTATTGCTGCCCCATTGCAAAGATGAGGAAACAGAGGCACCTGAAGCTAAATAGCTTGCCTGTGTTTGTGCAGACAGGTGGCAGGGCCAGGATTTGAACCCATAGATGCTGCTGCTGCGCCCCCCCCCACCTCCCAAATCACTCCCTGTAAGCCCATGCATTTAAAACCACACCCAGCTAAAGGTCAATCTGAAATTAAGGTAATGGAAACCCGAAACTACTCCTCAGATTGCTCTCTTTTTAAATTTAATTTAAAATTTCAGGTTCAAGTGTTACAGTGCAAGTCAGCCATTAAGGTATACACCAATCAGAAGCCCAAGTCTGGGACCTGAGTACCTAGATTCAAATCTCAGTTCTGTCACCCCTTTCGGGGGCCCTTTGGACAAGTTCCTTAACCTCCCTGGGCACCAGTTTTCTCTCTGTGAATCGGCTCAAAGTTCTTACTCTGGGGTTGTTGGGAGTCATTGAAGAAGACATGCTGACGCAATCCATAGCAAACAGGAAATTCTGAGGAGGCCCTGTGCATCCTCAGGCCATGCTCAGTGCAGGTTTTGCTTCCCGGAAGCAGACTCTGAGGTCATTCGGTGACCTTGAGGGGTCGCAATACAGCTGCGAGGCAGACCTGTGGAGCCTCCACCCACCCCATAGAGAGCGCCAAGCTGAGACGCCCTTCAGACATACCCCGTTGGTCAGGGATGGCCAGGCCTTTCCACCCTGGCTTCCCTCCGGCATCTGTGGACATGGCCTACCGGGAGCAGGGGTGACCTTGGGCAAGGTATTCTGGGGTCAGGGGCTGGCAGCGCAGGCTGTCCGCTGCCCGCACTCCCTGCGCTGGGGCAACAAGGCCTTCAAGGAAGTCGGTCTGGGTAGCACACTTAAGTTCTCTACACAGCAACTCTTTTTCTGCAAACTATGTTTTCATTTTATTCTTCCCCACCCCCACCCCCCCCAATAAATAGCACAGTTACAAGTCCCAAGATTTCAAAAAGAGCAAAGGGGTGGATGAGAAAAGGTACTGTTGTTGTCTCCTTTTAAGGAATCCCAAAGACCAGAGAGGTTAACTGCCCGACTCTGGGTTACACAGCTCATTGGTAGCAGAGCTGGGTTTTGAACTGGTGTCTCTGATTCTTTTCACTATGGTCTTCTGCTGGAGCTGTATTAAGGGAGGCTTCCCAGAGGAAGTGACATGCTATCCAGGTCTTAAGAGGACCATGCAATGCATTGGGAGAAAGCGTGGGCTGTGGAACCAGGCCATGCGGTTAGAGTCTCATATCATCTACCTCTTAGCTCTGTGCCTCCGTATCCTCATCTACAAAATAGGAATTCAAATGGATCCCAGCTCACCTGGCCAGGTAGCTCAGTTGGTTGGAGCATCGTCCCAATACAGCAAGGTTGCAGGTTCGATATCCAGTCAGGGTCAATACAAGGAACCAGTGAGCGCATACATAATTGGAACAACAAATCGGTCTCTCTCTCAAAAAAAAATAAAAATAAAAAATGAAAAATATTAGCCCTAGCTGGTTTGGCTCAGTGGATAGAGCGTCGGCTTGTGGACTGAAGGGTCCCAGGGTTGATTCCAGTCAAGGGCACGTGCCCGGGTTGCGGGCTTGATCCCCAGTGGGGGGCATGCAGGAGGCAGCTGATCAATGGTTCTCTCTCATCGTTGATGTTTCCATCTCTCCCTCTTCCTTCCTCTCTGAAATCAATAAAAACATATTAAAACACACACACACACACACACACGATTCCATCTCATAGAGTTGTTGCAATTATTAAGTGAGCCTATTCATATGGAGAACTTAGAGCATAGCCAACATAGCTGGTTATTATGAGGATGTTGGGGAAGAGGGGAATTCAGGATCAAGGATGACACAGAGGTTCTCACCCTGAGCAACTCTGTGGAAAAAGATGTTTACTGAGATGCACCTATTCTGACCCCAAGGGAGGAGGCACAGGGTGACCCCACACCCCAGAGGCTTCTCTGAGCTCAGAGCTCTGGGGGCTGGGCTGCTGGACCGCTGAGCATGCTGGGAGGCCAGTCTGGCCCCTGGCCCGGCCCCAGGCAGCAGGCTGGGATTTCTGTTCAAGGAGGGCTTTGTGTAGCAGCTGCCCCTTTCCCCCAGCTCCTGCTGGTTCCATTCCCTCCCCAGGCAGCACAGCCTGCCCTGGAGGGACCAGAATGCTCACTTCCTGCTCCCTCGTCCCTGCCCAGTGCCCTTGCCAGGCCACAGTGGCCTCCTGTGGCTTAGAGGCCCCTGGATGGGACCCAGGGTGAGTCTGGCTGGGCAGGGTTGGAATCAGATCCCAGAGCTTACTCTGAACTTGGGCAACTCGCTTACACCTACTTAGTGTTCTCACCAGCTTTCTCCTGCTTCAGACTAAATCCATGGCGCCCCCTGCATTTAGACTCCAGGCTGAAGGCTCCCACTGGCCTACACACAAACCCCGTCAGCTCCCATCTGTCTCCTCTCATCCGCTCCACGCCAGTCCCACTGCCTCCTCAGCGTTCCTCAGCCACACCATATTCATTTGCACCCAGGACCTCCGGATGGCTTTCTGCCCACCAATTGCTCCCCCTGAGATCTCTGGGTCCTCACCCTTCAGGTCTCCGCTCCAAGGTCACCACCACAGAAGGGGCCTCCCGGCCAGCGTGTCTAAAGGAGTCTCCCCATCAACACAGCCCCTCTCCCTCTTACCACTCTGCTCACACTGCGTCTGCCCCTCAAAGGATCCCGGTCATTTGTTTGTTTACAGGTGTCTCTCTTGCTAGAATATAAGCTCTGCGAGGGCAAGAATCATATCTGTCTTATCCGCGTGTCCCCTGCACACGGAATACACATTAGCTGGACAGGACCTAGCAGATGGGCGGTTTTGAGGACTGATGACAAGATGGATGTATGGAAAGTGCCCAGAGAGGGGTGATGCATACCCACCTGGTGCTAGCACGGGGGCCACTATCAACCTCACCACTTTTGTTGTTGTTATAATCGTACCGTCTCATGGATAAAAACCTGGCCTGATCCTGGCACCTCTGTGTGTAGTCTTTTAGTCTCCACCACAACAAACTTCTCTACAAATATGTTGAGGGGATGGAGGCTCCATCCCCTCAGAGCGAAGTAGACACATGGTCTTCTTCCCGGTCCCTCATTTCCTGCCCCAGAGGATTGTTGTTGTTGTTAGTTTAATTGGAGAAAGTAGCCACTGAGGTGCTTACCAACCAGGCTGTGAGCTCAAAATTCCAATCCTGGGGCAAGCCATCTGACCTAATTGGCAAATCACAACTTCTTGGTGCCCCAGTTTCTTCAACCACAGAAATGGAGAGAATTCTACTCCTTACCTCCTGGGGCTGCCGTGAAGATTAAATACGTTAATGTTCGCAAAATGCTTACAAGTGAGCCCAGCACAGAGTAAACACTGTAAGTGTTGTTAAGTAAAGTAACTAAAAATAAATCACATCCAGGGCTTACTGTGACACCGGAACTATTTCTATGAGCGCTTGTTTAATCCTTACCACAGCCCCTTGAAGAAACCGAGGGCCAGAGCAGTACCCTGGTATGAATGTTCACCTCATGTATGCAGCCTTCTCTTGTTTCTTTCTTTTAGTCACATTCACTGGCTCTCTCTACCTAAGAATTATTATACAGAGTTGCACACACACAGCTGAACCTACTATGTGCTATGAGTGTTGTAAGAGATTTTCCATTGAGGTTTCAACATTAAACATTTCACTTAGACCAGTGGTTCTCAACCTTGGCTGCACATTAGAATCACCTGGGAATCTTTTTAAAATCCTGATTTCTGGGCCCCATCCTCCAGAAATTCTGTTTCTTTGTTACCGGGTGGGGCCACAACATTAGTAACAAAGAAACAGAATTTCAGGAGGATGAGGCCCAGAAATCAGGATTTTAAAAAGATTCCCAGGTGATTCTAATGTGCAGCCCAGGTTGAGAACCACTGACTTAGACCAAACACCCTCCTTGTAAGATGCGACCCTACTGTTATCACAGAGATCTAGAAGAGGGCCTGGTGGAAGCGGGACAGGAGGAGGAAGAGGGGAGCACCGTCCTGCCTGACTCAGCCTCCCTTTCCCATCCTGCCACGTGACCTCAGGCCCCTCTTGGCATTTCCGAGGATCGTAAAGAACACAACTTGACAACCACTGCGCTGGGTGATTTCTGAGTGTTCTGCCACCTCTGGCATCTCCTGACTTGGTGCTACGAATGACAGCTGGGATGCCCTGGGCATAGATGCCCAAGCCCTTCACTAAATGCTTTAGGGATGAGCTCTTTTTCTTCCAATAATAACCATCTGGGACAAGTACTGTTATGTCCCCATTTTACAGATAAGGACATTGAGGCACAGAGAGGTTAAGTTACTTGGCCAGGATGACACAGCCAGAGAGGATTAAGATGGAGAACAGACCTAGTCTCACTCCACAGCCCTTTCTCCGCGCCCTCTGGCCTTTCCACTTTGACCTTGCCTATTGCTGATCCCAGAGTCCCAGGGACACTGCGGGGCTTTGTGGTCCCGAGGAAACAGAGCTTCTGATTCCGAGGGGACTGGGAGTGGGCAGGTGAGGCCCTTAGGAGTCCCCAAGAGAACCCTAGGCAGTTGGAGGCTCTCCTCTCTCACGAAGCTGCCAGACCTCCCTGTGGCTATGGAGGCTGAGCCAAGGGTATGAGTGGCCGTTGGGATGTTGGCTGGAAGCCCGTCACCCAGAGGTCTGGCTACAGGGAAGTTCTTGACTTCTCATTCATCCAAGTCATTAATATTCCCTCTCTCCAGCCTCTTTCCGTTGAATGGCACACACGGCTGTCCATCTCTTTGCCAAAGCCGTGGCCTCTGGAAAAACCAGCGGCCCATTTTTTACTGTGAAGGGTGCCCTGGGCCAGGGGAGAAGCGGGGTCCTCGACGCTGCCATGTGCCATACTTTCTAGGCCATCAGACAGGCAGTGCAGATGTAAAAGAAACCTCCATTTTACACAGTCTCTTTCAAGGCAAGTTGTAGGGACACGAGTACTATTTTATTTATGGAAAAACAGGGCGCTGTGTTCTAGAATCCATCATGAAATTTTAAGTTTGGGATAAGCAGTAGATTTTCTGTTAAACATAAAAGAAATGTGTATAGTTTCTTTGATAAAGCAGAGTGTATTGGTACCAGATGGCACGGGGTGATTAAAGGGCGGTGGTAGACATACACTTGATTCTAGAAGGCAGGGGACTAACCCAACTCTGCCTTGGCCAACATCTAAGCCTCTGGTTTTGTTATCTTTGTTAAAAACGAAAACAAAAAACAACCTGCCAGACAAGACCTTGTGGGTTTTTTGAGATGTTGCTGCATGGCACCACCAGGGGGCAAAAGAGAGCACAAATTTTACATCTTCAGCTTTGCGGCTTTGGGGTCCTAATGAAGGTGTGCTGGACGCCTGGTAGTTTAGGACACATTTGATGACAGGAGGGAGTAGCTGGGAAGAGTATACATACTATACACTTGTAAATGGAGTCATTCCCAGGGAAGTCCTGGAAAGAGCTGGGGATGATTCTGCAGTATAGACGGGCAGTGTGGAGTCTGGGGCCAGGGAGGGAGCCCTCTAACTCAGTGGGTCTCAACCTGTGGGTCGCGACCCCTTTGGGGGTCAAACGGCCCTTTCACAGGGGTCGCCTAAGACCATTGGAAAACACATATATGATTACATACTGTTTTTGTGATTAATCACTATGCTTTCATTATGTTCAGCTTGTAACAATGAAATTGGGGGTCACCACAACATGAGGAACTGTATTAAAGGGTCG